CTGCCTATGAGTGCACATCAGTGCTGCCTACCAGTGCAGCCTCATCAACACACATTAGTGAAGGAGAAAATGTACCTGTTTGAAATTTTATAACAGAAAGAAAGAAAACATTTTTTTTAAATTTTCCGTTTATAGTGCAAAAAAATAAAAAACCCAGTCACAATTAAATGCCACCAATAGAAAGCTCTATTTGTGTGAAAAAAAATTAAAAATTTCATATGGGTACGGTGTCAAATGACTGTGCAGTTGTCATTCAAAGTGCAACAGTGCTGAAAGCTGAAAATTGGCCTAGACAGGAAGGGGGTAAAAGTGCCCAGTAGGCAAGTGGTTAAGTAAGTTTACAGTTTTGTGTTGGGCCGCATTTATAGCCCTCCCAATTTCTTTAGGATAATATTTGTTTGGAAGAGCCTGGTGCCAATCAGCACTGTGCCACTAGTATACCAGCTGTATGTCTTGTGTGCTGACTTGGTTCCTTTCAGTGAATTACAGTGGGTATAGAAAATAATCACCCTCTTAAATAATCATGTGTTGTTGCTTTGCAGCCTGAAATGAAGACAAACACAGTTTTTGTTTTATCCAGCTGTATTTACTTCTTAACATCCAAGTGAAAGATATAACGCCAACATGTCAGAAGAAACTTAAAAAAAATTCAAAAACAGGATTACTGAGTTGGAAAAGGGATCAACCCCCTCCTAAAATGACTCAATCAGATATAGCTAATCACTATCTCAATGGCATGCAAAGCCATTTGACTTTCAACTGTGATCAGCTGTGGTCAATTTGATTAGCACAGCATAAAAAGAGCTTTCCAGGAGCATTTCAGTCCCAGATAGTGCATCTGAAGCAAACAATCAACTATGGGTGGCAAGATACTGGGAAAAGATCTCTGGGATAAAGTTGTGGGCAGGACCAAGTCAGGAGATGGGTACAAGAAAAATTTCAAAGGCTTTATTAATGCCTAGAAGCACAGTGATCAATAAGAAGTGGAAGGTACATGGTACAACACAGACCCTCCCTGGATTGGGACATCGCTCCAAACTGGATAAAAAAGTCAGAGGAAACTGGTCAGAGAGGCTACCATGACAAACAGCAACTCTGAAGCAGTTGCAGGAATTTATGATAAAGAGTGATTATCGTGTGCATGTGACAACAATATCACAAATTCTCCACAAATGTGGCTTGTATGGGAGGGTTGCAAGAAAAAAGTCACTCATCAAGGAAGGCCACATGCAGTCATGACTGAGCTTTCCCAAAACACGCCATGAAGATTGTGAGGCCACATGGAAAAAGATGTTATGGTCAGATGGGGCTAAAATTGAATTATTTGGCCTCAATACTAAATGCTATGACTGGCAAAAATCCAATACAGCTCTCCATCCAAAAAACACCATTCCTACAGTAAAGCATGGAGGTGGTGATATCCTGGTATGGGGGTGTTTCTCGGCAGCAGGGGCTGCAGCACGTCAGGATAGAAGTAAAAATGGATGGGGCAAACTAGCGTCAAATTCTTGAAGAAACTCTGCTGCCCTCTGCCATAAAAATGTCAATGGGAAGAAGATCCTTCCAACACGATAATGACCCAAAGCACACAGCAAAAATGTCCACACAGTGGTTGAAGGAGAAAAAGGTGAATGTCCTTGCATGGCCTAGTCAGAGCCCAGACTTAAACCCCATTAAAAATCTGTGGAATGACTTGAAGACTGCAGTCCACAAACGGCAAATGGTCACCAACAAATTTAATTAAACTTGAGCAGAAGAGTGGGCAAGTATTGCAAAGTCTAGATGTGCAGAGTTAGTAGAAATATATCCCAACAGACTAAAGCAAAAAGGTGGTTCAACAAAATACTGACAAAAGGGGGTGATCCTTTTTCCAACCCAGTAATTCTATTTTCAAAATGTAGTTTTTCTGACATGTTGGTGTTCTCTTTCATTTGGCTGTTATAAGTTGTACTAAGTAGATACAACTGGATAAAATAAAAATGGTGTCTGTCTTCATTTCAGGCTGCAAAGCAACAAAATGTGATTATTTTACAGGAAGGATTCTTTTCTAAACCCAGTGTAATGGAAAGATGTTTAAAAAATAAGATAAAGCCAAAGGAATACATACCAGCAAAACTAAAATTGGAATGGATTTGTGTTCTTTTGTGGTAACCTAAAGAGAAAGCTTACACTTTCCAGTAACCTTTTAAGAAATATACAACACAGCCGCCCTTAAAACTGACTGTGAAAGGAAGATTGTGCATTATCTACAAGGTAGATAGGATGTGCACTTTGCAAGTAATCTTGCTCCAGAATTTAGTGAATATGGTGAAATTTCACTTTGCAAAGGATATCCAATTACATGCAAGGAAAATTAAAAAACAGCATTTTGTTTGCACATGATTGGATGATGGAGGTCAGCAAAGCTTCGCTACATTCATCACAGTAACCTCTCATTATGGATATTTTTAACCACTTGCCCTCCTGAGGATTTACCCCCCTTAATGACCAGGCCTCTTTTTGCTTTTCGGCATTGCACTAATTCAAGTGATAATTGCGCGGTCATGCAATGCTGCACCCAAACGAAATTTACGTCTTTTTTTCACACAAATAGAGCTTTCTTTCGGTGGTATTTGATCACCTGTGCGCTTTTTATTTTTCTTCACGCTATAAACAAAAACAGACCAAAAATTTTGCAGAAAAACAATATTTTTTACTTTCAGCTATAAAAAATATATAGTAAACTCAAAGTTAGTTATAAATTTAGGGCAAAATGTATTCTGCTACATGTTTTTGGTAAAAAAAAATCCCAATAAGTGTATATTGATTGCTTTGTGTGAAAGTTATAGCGTCTACAAACTATGGTATAGATACAGCAATTTACGCCATTTTTTTTGCTATACAACGCTGCGCTAGTTTAACGGACGATTGCGCGGTCATGCAATACGGTACATAAATGAAATTTATGTCCTTTTTTTTCCCACAAATTGAGCTTTCTTTTGGTGGTATTTGATCTCCTGTGCATTTTTTATTTTTTGCGCTATAAAAAAAAAAAGGCTGACAATTTTGAGGAAAAAAAAACAATATTTTGGACTTTTTGCTATAAAACATGTCCAGTAAAAAAAAATGTAAAAATCTAATTTAGTCAAAAATTTCTGCCAAAATGCATTCTGCGACATGTCATTGCTAAACAAAAACCCAATACGTGTAAATTAATTGGTTTACGTGAAAGTTATAGCGTTTACAAATGGCGGGAAAGATACTGGTATTTTTAATTTTTTTTATACTAATAATGTCGGCGATCAGCGACTTATGGCGGCGATCAGTGACTTATGGCGGCGATCAGCGACTTATGGCAGGACTGCGGCGGACATTCTGACACTGAAGGGGAACTGACATGACATCCCCAGTGACACCAATACAGTGATCAGTGCAAAAAAAAACACTGACACTGTACTAATGACACTGGGGAAGAAGGGGTTAACTTTATTATTCAATGAAAGGGTTAACTGTGTGAGGGGTGTGTTTTACTACGGGGTGGGGGTGTGTATTGCACGGGAACACGCTGAACCGGAGAGAAGAGTTTATCAGGAGCTGACAGGAAACTGACAGAAAGCACAGCTGCAGTGTAAACACTGCAGCCGTGCTCTCTGTCAGTGATTGCCGGTAATCGCCGGGACAGGGCAGGTAATGACCGGCCGTGACCCGGCAACTGACATCCATGGCTGCGATCGGTGGGATGGGTAGGGCAGGCACGCACCTCGCGCATGCCCCCTACTTGTTTTGCAAAATCACGTTTTAAAACGTGGTTTTGTGCAGCCGTGCCGCCCTGCCACTGTATTTCTACAGTGGCTGGTCGGCAAGCAGTTAAATATGTTTAGTTGAAATTGTCCAGATTAGTGACAGGTTTAAATTTTACAGTTTATTATATACATTGGTAATTTTTAAAGTAATCATCCATGTGAAGGTTTTTGGCCGATACACCTAATATCGAAAGTGGAATTTTAATTTCAAAACTGGGTTCCGCTGTATTACTCTGTAAGTATGTTGTATTCATTAATGATATATTTTTTTCAATGAAAATTTATGGAGTCCTACTTCTTTAATATCTTCTCCTGTTACTATACTGTGCATATGTACCACCCCTGTTATTCCTAGAATCTGTTTTATGCTGTAATTTGGAACACAGAATGTCAGGTTGCCACAGTCACTGTACAGGCATTCAAAGCTCATCTGACGAGAACACCACTCCTGGTGTCTTGTTTATGTGACCTAATGCATCACTCCCCAGGACTAGTAGAAGAGCCCTGAGAAGGAGGCATGACATTTCTGTGAGAATGGATCATTGGGGGACTTTAATGATTTATTTGTGTTCACCATATACAGTATTTATATGATTAGTGTGCAGGCAGAGGATTACTGTATCATAGGTGGTAGATAGGACCGAGCACTTTAGAGTGCTGATGACGTATACTGTACAACCTGGAGTCAAAATTGCATGCTAGAAAGTATTTGTTTTGCATGCTAGAAAGTATTTGTTGCCTAATGCAAAATTAGTTCTATGCCCACCAATGATGCAGTAATCATATGCCTGCAAACTAACTGCAAAGATAGCAATAGGGAAAAGCCAGCAAAGGTTCGTCCCTATGCAGATATTCAATACAGTGGCTACATGGTTAGCACTTCCGCCTGGCAGTACTAGGATTGTTGGTTCTAATCCCGACCACAACACCACCTGCCTGGAGTTTGCATGTTCTCCCTGTGCATGCGTGTGTTTCCCCTGGGTACTCCGGTTTCCTCCCACACTCCAAAGACACGCTGCTAGGTTAATTGGCTCCTGTCTAAATTGGCCCTAGTATGTGTATGTATGAATGTAGGTTAGGGACCTTAGATTGTAAGCTCCTTGAGTGTTGGGGACTGGTGTGAATGTACAATATATATGTAAAAAGCTGCAAAAATTGTTGGCAATATATAAGTATCTTTATTAATAATATACATAATATAAATAATGTTAAAGATACCTCTGTTGGAGTCTGCAGAGTCTTCTTTTCTGATTTTTGTACATCTTTGCTTCCTCTTCTCTTCAGAGATAACTGTAAGCAAAATGAAAATAACACAAAATTACAAACATTGTTATATATAAGAAATGGTTATTCAACTATAGAGATGTCCAAATTTCTTTGTCTAAAGTCTGTCATAACCAGAAGAAAATAGGCAAATATGCATATACTGTATGTCTCAAACATCTGAGGATATCTTTAGGTGCAACTTTAAATATGGTGTTCATATTCAAGGAGGAGGTGCTTGTAGACACTCTATTGTATCATTTTAGCGCTTTGCTAGTGATGTCTTTAAGAGGTTTATTTACTAAAGAAAAATAGACTGGAGCTTAGTGAATGTAGTGAAGTTCTGCTGACTTCCTTCATCCAATCACATGCAAGCAGAAAAGCTGTTTTTTTTCCCTGCAGGTGATTGGATATACATTTCAAAGTGTAACTGCACCACATTATCTAAACATTGGAAAACATTCTCTTACACAATGCAACTTTCTTTGGAAAGTAAAGAGCCTTTATATCTTTAGTAAATTGATCCCTGAGTACCCATAGACAAAAGATCAGTTCCTGATCCAGCCAATTTATGCTGGATTGAATGACAAATTTTTCATATCAATAGTCAGTATTAACAAAGGCCAATGTCAAGCTAATTTAGATACCTGATGTTTGGATAAGGATGCTAAACGTTTTTTTGCCTAACCATCAAATCTCTCAAATCTTTAATCTCCCTCTCTTCTAGCACCCTCCCCAACACTCTAAAACATGCACTAGTCACCCCCAATCTTAACCTACGCCCCATCTCCCTGCTCCCTTTTCCCCCAAACTCCTTGAACGTCTGGTCTAAAAACAAGTGAGTGACCACCTCATTAAGAATAACCTTCTTGATCCCCTTCAGTCTGGATTTCATCCTTAACACTCCATAGAAAACACTCTCCTAAAACTCACAAACGATTTACAAACAGCAAAACCAATGAACACCATTCTGTACTCCTACTACTGGACCTTTCAGCTGCCTTTGATATGGTTGACCACCCCCTTCTCCTCAAAAAATTCTACACTCTTGGTATCCGTGACTGTGCTCTTTGTTGGTTTTCATCCTACCTATCCACTTACAATTCTACTTCCTCCTCTCCTTTCTCCGTTGGGGTCCCCTCCAAGGTTCTGTTCTTGGACCTCTCCTGTTCAATCAAATCTATCTCTCTACCCCTAAGCTCACAACATCAGTCTCCTCACGAATCACTAACTTACTGACCAACATATCAGTCTGGATGTCACATCACTTCCTCAAACTCAATCTATCCAAAACTGAGCTCTTAATATTTCCTCCCCCATGTGCCCCTTCCCCTGACTTCTCTGTGAACATCAATACCACAACCATCAACCCATCCCCACATGCCAGGGTGCTAGGTGTAATCCTGGACCCTGAACTCTCCTTTTGGCCCCACATCCAATCACTTTCTTTTTTTAAATATATATTTTATTAATTTTTCTTTGTATAAAAAATTGACAGTGTATATAACAAAAAAAAACAAATACCAACATTATTATTTAACCACATTAATCACTTCCCTTCTTCTACCTCTCCCCCCCAAATCCCTCCCTTCCCCTTGAAAACCCCTTGTCCATTGCAGTCTTAAACTTCTCTTTCCCCTCCTGTAAACCATCCCATTTCTATGTCTTCCTTTTTAATTCCCCAACTCTACTGTTATACCACCTATTTTTAAATAATTTTTTGATATTTTAAATTCATACCATTTTCTCCATATTTTCTTAAATACTTCCACTTTATCCTCTTCAATATAACACAACTCCTCCATCTTATTAATATACTCAATCCTATTTATCCAGTCTTTCATTGATGGGGGCTCCGGGTCCTGCCAAAATTTAGGGATCAAGCTTTTTGCCGCACCAAGCAAATGGTATACTATATTATTTTTATATTGTTTTACTGACATCTGTTTTATAAAAGAGGCACGCCTATGGATCTTTCTGGATTTGAATTCCCCCAATCTCCTGTGTATATTTTGAATTATTTCTTGCCAAAATACCTGTATTTTTGGACATTCCCACCAAATGTGTGCCATTGTACCTATTACCCCACACATTTCCTCTCGCTGTTTATATGCCACATTCGGTGTACAATACCATCTAGACATACATTTATAGTTCATTTCAATTGTGTTCATATTCCTCACCCCGTGTATTAATTTAAACTACATCCAATCACTTTCTAAAGCTTGCCGTCTCAACCTCTGAAACATCTAAAAAATACGCCCCTTCTTAACCAATGACACCACAAAGCTCCTAATTCACTCCCTGGTTATCTCTCGTCTCAACTGCAACTCCCTCCTTATTGGATTACCTTTACATAAGCTTTCCTCCCTCTAGTCATCATGAATGCTGCTGCCAGGCTCATCCACCTTACCAACCGTTCAGTGTCTCCCACCCCTCTCTGTCAATCCCTGCACTGGCTGCCACTCACCCAACTAACTAAATTCAAAGTACTAACAACAACTTACAAATCCATCCACAACCTGGCCCCCAGCTATATCACTAACCTCCTCTCAAAATACCAACCAAATCGCTCCTTTCGTTCCTCCCAAGACTTTCTGCTCTAGTTCCCTTGTCTCCTCCTCCCATGCTCGCCTGCAGGACTTCTCAAAAGCCTCTCCCATCATATGGAATTCCCTACTCCAATCTGTATAACTATCTCCTACTCTGTCCACTTTTAGTCAATCCCTGAAAACGTTACTCTTCAGAAAAGCCTATCCTGCTTCCGCCTAACAACTATACATGCATTTTCTCCATCAGCTCATCCCCCGCAGTTATTACCTTCTGTATCACTACAGAGGGCAGGGCCCTCTGATTCTTTCTGTATTCAATAGTATTGTAATTGTACTGTATGCTTGCACGTTGTAAAGTGCTGTGCAAACTGTTGGCGCAATATAAATCCTGTATAATAATCCCTGTCAGATCTAGCCTTAAGCTGGGCACACACAATTCGTTTTTGTCGTTCAATCAGCGGCAATTCCTGCATCCATACAAGCGAGATGGATGCAGGAATCCTCCCAGCTGTCAGAATACACTCAGCAGCAGCTCCAGACCACTTATTACCCACTTGCACGCCAGGGGATTTACTCCCCTTCCTGACCAAGGCATTTTTTGCAACACGGCGCTGCGTTACTTAAACTGACAATTGCACGGTCATGCAACGATGCACCCAAATTAAATTTGTGTCCTTTTTTTCCTACAAATGGAGCTTTCTTTCATGGTATTAGATGGCCTCTTTTTTTTTTTTTGCGCTATATAAAAAAAAAGACTAACAATTTTGAGAAAAAAACAATCATTTTGACTTTTTGGTATTAAACATGTCCAGTAAAAAAAATTTTTAAATCATATTTAGTCATAAATTTAGGCAAATTATATTCTGCTACATGTCTTTGCTAAAAAAAAATCCCAACACGTCTACAAATGGCAGTATAGATACTGGATTTTTTTTTTTTAATACTAGTAATGATGGTGATCAGCGACTTATAGCGGGACCGCGGCAGGCATTTTGACACGGGGGGGAACTGACTGTCACTGACATCCCCAGTGACACCAATACAGTGATCAGTGCTAATAAAAAGCACTGACATGGGCACATTTTACGCCAGCTCAGCTATTCCCAATGGGTATTTTGGAATCCCCTACCTGTAGTAGATGTGCCAGAGAACATGGGGATTTAATTCACTTATTGTGGCACTGCCCCAAATTACACATTTATTGGATGGGCATGATACACACCATAAACACTGTGTTTCAGGTTTCTATCCCACCTGACCCCAAACCTTGTTTGTTCGATATTTTAGATGACTTTCAATTACTAACTTTTACTAGGGAGGCAGTTGCTAGAGCTCTTTTCCAGGCTCAGAGAGTTGTACTTTGGCATTGGAAGTCGTCTGAATCTCCCTCTCATGACGAGTGGGTACAGTGCATGGGTAAAACTATCCAACTCTAGAAGTACATTATACCAACATAGAGGCTGCTTCCATAAATTTGATGATCTATGGGGCCCCTGGCTGGGTACTCCGGGCCTGAGTCCGCTAGATTTGGTTCTAGACAGGCTTCTTATCAGTTGATGCTGTATCCCAATGAGATGTCTATTTGCCATGGCTCTGCCTACCCACTCTCAACTGCTGTTGTATTGTTTGTATTGAATCTAGACTTTTTTATTCATGTTATACCTTGACATCTGTACACTAGCACAATATCGTGGACGTCTACTTGGTTTGCTTCCTGTACCTGCTAATGTTTGCTGTATATGTAAGAGGGATTTCTGCAATTTCTGTATACTTGTTATGTCAGTTACTCAATAAAACTTTCTTTGAATAAAAAAAGCATTGACACTGTACTAATGACACTGGGCAGGAAGGCGTTAACATCTGGGCGATCAAAGGGTTAACTGTGTGCTGTGTGTTTTTTCACTGTGTGTGCTTTACACTGTCAGCACACTGCTTTGTATGGCTCTGCTATGCAGAGCCATACAAAGCAGTGTGCATGAGCTGGCAGGGGAGAGATCTGTATTGTTTACATACAGGTATCTCCCCCGTCAGTAATACACGGTGATCGTCAGGTGCCGGCGGGGAATTACCAGCCGGGACCCAGTGATCGACAGATGAGGCTGCCAATGGCAGCGCGGGTAGGGCACATGATTTTATATATATATATGTGTGATTTTGCACACCCCTGGCGCCCTGTAGCAGTATATTTGCCGTAGGGTAGCGGGAAAGCGGTTAAAGAAGTTTTTGTCAGCAAGACCATTTGACAGAAACCAATCTAACAATCAGTTTCTGTTGAACAGAGAAGACCACACAGAGATCAAAATTCAAGTGATTTCTGCTGAACTGGGCAAAAGACGATCTGTTTTTGCCCAGCATTACAAGTACAAGATGTAATCTGAAGTCAAGACACTCTGTGCCCTAACCCTAGTCCAGATCATGTTGGCACTAAGAACAGCCAACTTCTACTGCGTCTGGTCTCTTGACAATGGTTACCTTACTTTATACCTAAGTAAATGCTGACCAAATATCGAATGTCAATAAGAGTTTTGCTCTAACAACTAAGAGCTGGAGTTGAAGCCCTCCCGTGTGGTTTTCTTTTTTAATAGTTTTTTTCTAGCTGCTATATGACAAATTGCAATCAATATTTGACTCAGGCAGGAAAAATATAGGCAGAGCACCTCAGGAAGAGGAATATAAAAGATATATGGCCCTATTTACCGATAAGACAGAGGTGTCTTGGCTAAGATGTAAACATCCATTTATGCAAGCATTAGGTTGCTTTGCATTGCTAACTTTTGCCTTCATCACCATTAATTGTTGAGAAGACTTAGCCCATAAATACTGGTAAGATGACTATCAAATGAAGCAAAAACACTAAATTAGCATCAGGTAGCTATGGGCTACCTTACAAACAGTGCTTTGTACATCAAAGAACAGCACCTTTGCACTGAGGTGCCTACATGATCTTCTTCAGGCTAACTATTATACTCTAAGAGCCAGCCTACGGCAGATCCTCCCCATTTGTCTACAGTTTGTGGACACAAGAAACTTGTACCCCCGGTTCACATATCTGCGGCCGTGTGGGCAGCGTTTTGGGTGGGCACGAGAGCCCATTCATTTGAATGGACTCCCATGCCCCGGGACACACAGGGAAGAAGTCCCTGCTCTTCTTTGGAAACCGCAGTCCGTACGAGAACCAAAGTTCCCAGTACGGTTGCGATTTCCAGTGTGAATTAATGGCACCCGTCCGCGAGTCCCACATTGCTCTGTGCAGGTGGTGTGGCTGCAGGCATTTCTGTACAGGTCCCGCAGCTGCACCATCCGCACATATGTGAACCTAGCCTTAATAGGAGTGGCAGTGTGCAAGGCTGCTAAAACTGATCCCAGGTAATGCAGTACAAATATTTTTTTGCTGGCAGGACACATAGTTATATTAGGTTTACATTGCTGCCAGATGCTGTAGTGGCATGAAAAAATCATGCTTATTGACTTTAATGAGCTTGCAAATTCTGACTCATTAGTTAAAATGAGTTACATAGATACTAACACCCCCCACAAGAATACAATAATCAGCGCTTACAGCCATGGGCTGTGAGCACTGACTGATGGTTTGCCAGCATAACTATTCAACAGAAGCCAGTCTAGCACCTGGCTTCTGTTGATCAGACAGCTGTAAACACAGACCAAAAGTACACTTTGGCTAGAGTTTAAATTTAAAGTGGATTCCTGCCTAACACTAACATCCTAAAAATGTTCCCTACCCACCTTTGCTATCTTCCTATCCTGAAATCCAAAAGATCTATATACTTACCTTTTTTCAGTCCGCTCTGGACTGGTCACGTAATCCTGCACCTCCAGGTCCCCTCTGTAAGGGAGCCCTTGACAACGGCTGGGAATTCCAGGAGCAGGGACGTCACCCATAGCCCAGCTTTTGTGGGAGCTTCCTCCTCTCTCCTGCAGCCACTGCTTATTGACATAGGGGAGCAAGAGCTGCAGGATCACATGACAAGACCAGAGCTGACTGGAAATAAAAGGTACATTTACAGATCGTTTTACATAGGGTAGGTAAGATAGGTAGCAGGAGGCGGGAGGGGGCATTTTTAAGAATAGGAACATGGAACAAATAACTCGTTACCAGCGTTGGAGTTTCTACCACTAGCAAAAGATCTATTGGTTATCTAGAGGATTCCGTTATGATGTGATTCATAAACATGACACCAGAGGTGTCATCTTAAAGCAGGGGTGCTCAACCTTTTGAAGAGCGAGGGCCACATAAGTGATTTGGTAATCAGGAAAAAAAAAAGGTATATATACAGATCGTTTTACATAGGGTAGGTAAGATAGGTAGCAGGAGGCGGGAGGGGACATTTTTAAGAATAGGAAACAAATAACTCTTTGCCAGTGTTGGAGTTTCTACCACTAGCAAAAGATCTATTGGTTATCTAGAGGATTCCGTAATGATGTGATTCATAAACATGATACCAAAGGTGTCATCTTAAAGCAGGGGTGCTCAACCTTTTGAAGAGCGAGGGCCACATTAGTGATTTGGTAATCAGGCACGGACCACAATAAACAATGGAGTTTTACCACCACTCAAACCGCAAATGTAAACTAGTCTTTACTATCCTGAGCCCCCTATAAGGCTGCTTTCACACTGATGCACTGTGGTTTACCTGCGCCACTGGTGCAGCGCTCTCCATCTGCGGCTTTCCTGCAGGTTAGCTGTACTTTTCCATAGACTTCTATTATAACTTGTGGGTGTGGTGCACCAAAGCTTCTGCATTCAGGAGGTTCTGGTGCACTTTCAGAAAGCGCACCAAACCAGAAGTTTAACAGAAGTCTATGGCTTCAGGAAAGCACTGTGCTGCACCCGCAGATCAGTGTGAAAGCGGCCTAATAGTTATTAATCCTTTTAATATGTCCATTGCAATAAGTATTATGCCCAGTGTATGTGTTGTTTAATACATGACCTGCTTTTCCTCTTGGATCTGCTGCTGGCATCACTCTTCAGGCTGATAGAAAGAATTAGAGGTAGAGTGCACTTGGTATCGCTCCCTCTGGGACAGGAGGTGGAGCTACAGAAGAAGCATCAGCTTATGCAGCTCCTGCTCCTTCTGCTGCCAGTGCCAGCTGAACTCTGATGCCAACCCTGGGTATACATTTCACTGGTTTGAGGGGAATCAGGGAGATCAGGGTACGGTCAAGACTGAAGCTGTGATTGCATGTGATCCACAGGTCCCAGACCTTCAAAAATTTGGCATTGGTGTCCTTCAAAATGGAAGTGAGCTTCTCATGCAACATAGTGCCCATAAGCCGTTGCTTGACTTTGGCAATATTGAGTAAATGCTTCCATCAAGCTTTGGCAAAGTCTGACAAGCTGCCAGAGAAACAAAGCCCACCAGTATCCTCTGGTTTCTAGTCAAGGTCGAGATAAGTGTGGGTAATAGAGCTTCCCACGGATTACGAGCCATGGTTCCTTTTAAACACTGCCCTAACCAAGGTGTAAACCTGCATGCAGAAGAGGATCGCCATGAAGCAAGTCCACTAGATGTGGAGTAGGGTCTTTCTACAGCCATGAAAACACACTGGAGATGCACTGGGAGCTGTTTGAGATATACGTTCAGGAGTCATGTTGCACTGAGAGAACAGTTTAGACGTGTTCTCCTGAGCCAAGACATTTTGGGAGCATTTAGAAGCAAACCAAATGTTGTTCCAGGCTGCTTGATCTAGGGTTTTGCTTGAATTCGCTTCCTACTTTACTATATTTTTACCAGAACTCATGGAGCTCACAAGCGATGTAGAAATCAGAAGCTAGGCCCTTTTGATTTCCGGCAATGATTTTCAAGGGAAGTCACCTGTTTAGGGGGCCCTACCTGGTATGTTCGGGGGCCATGAACGTGGTGCATAATTTAAAGGTGGCAGAAGGCCTCCGAGGTCGGCAGTTGCCAAAGTTTTTGTAAGTAGCTAAAGGATTTGAAACCATCCAAGGTTAAAGTTTATACATATACTTGACTCCCTTCCCCTGCCACCAGCAAAAATCCAGCAAATTGTGATGAGCTGAAAAGAACTGGGGAGTATGGAGGATACCCAACAAAGGGAGGTAGGGAGAAATCAGGTTGCCAGGCGCAAAATATAAATCGATGACAGATCAAGCATCCAGGGTCGAAAAAGTGGGAGGAGTCCAAAGAAGGTTGTAAATAGGGAAAGGGTAGCATTCCAAGATTGCCAAGTGGACTGAGATAGGCATTTCCAAACTTGCTTGAAGGGAAATGAGAGGCCTCCCGCCCCCTCCACAGCCAAGTGCTCCACTGACAGTCACCGCTCTCTGCTCAGAGCAGAAGGGGAGAACTGAGCAATCAGCAATGTTTTATCACTCAGTTCTAAACCTTAGAGCCAGCAGGGTACAGATGCAGCATTGGATCAATGCTGCATCCACCTAGGTAAGTATGATTTTTAAAAAACAATACTTCTCTTTTAAGACTGATACTGACAGCCCACTTGCCAGTCTACAGAGACAAAGCACCGCTGTTGGCAACCTCAGTCACTGAGAGTGCCAGATAACATCCTTTTTCATTCTTAAATAAAAGAAAGGCTAAATGGTTTAAATACTGATGTAGGCAACACAGAGGTTATTACTGATGCCTTGGAAATTTGAAGTATTGTTTTACAAAGTTTTATAGTCTGAAAATGGACATACTCTTCATGTTCATCCTTTGAAATTTACTTAAATATTCAGAAACCCCAGTGGATTTATAACTGCTAGAACAATACAGTAAATATTTTAAAGTAACATTCCCTTTATATCAAGTTTATAGATTATGAGTCGATTTGAATTGACATTTTAAGAAGGTATGTAGAATGGCACCAAAAAAACAAAATAAATTATGCTAATAGTGCCTTCTATTAACACATTAAAACAATACAATATAAAATGTTATTTTATGGAATACAAAATAAATCTTGTCAGGTAGTTGAGCAATTTCCAATATCTGTTCAGAAGGATCCATTCTTTAACATAGATCCATGATTTCATCCTGATTATTCAGGAGCACGGATAATTTGATACAATATGAGATATAATAAGATGATATAGTAAACCTGTGAAAGTACTCCATCTTGAAAGACCTTGTGCACTACTTTAGTACTGTGTATTAGAGGATGCACTCACCTCCTTCAGCTTATCAAGCTCATTCTGCAGAGCTTGCTTGGCTATATCAACTTCAATGAGCTGCTGACGTAGCTTTTCATTCTCTTCCTCTGTTTTAGTCCGCTTCTCTTCCACGTTTTCCAACTCATGGTGAAGTCTAACTGATACATCCTTGGCTACCTAAAAGGCAGTTGTAAGCAGTTATAAAGAAATGAACTGTACTATTATTAGACATATTGCCAGTACTGGGCTTATTTAATTACACACTGCAAAGACACTGCTGCACACTCACCAATAGCAACACAAAATCAGCTTCCATAAGTTTAACTGCATTAGACTCCTATAAGCAGAGATATTTGATTTCATTGTATGAATACTACACCTTTTATTGTTTACTGAATCACTGCATGAAATATGTTCATTAGCGGAAAAAAAGTACAGTACTTTTAAATAACATTTGAAAAATGGCCATGACAATAGAGTAAGGTGTACGTATGCATTTGTTTGTGTCAGAACTGTTTACATCTCTCCCTGCATCACCAAATGCATTTGGGAGAAAATAATGAATGCATATATTTTTTGCATAGTATTTTTTCCTATAGGACTCTGCAAAGCATTGCACCTGTGATCAGTGGACCAGAGGTATAATGTCAGGCTCCTGCAGACAAGCCCTTCACCTTTCAGCCTGTACCTCTGTATGGACTGAAAACTACAGGGTTTTAACTACTAGTGTGCTCATCAGCGCTCTCATAGTTCATTCAAAACAATGAGCTATCTGCTGCTGTGGCAGATGGGACTTGCAGTTCTCTCATGAACAAATTCCTGTGAATGAATGACGCAGCTGTGTGACAGCGGGTGTGGGGTGAGAATCCACTGTCATGGGTGGGGGGGACATCTACTGGAGCATGTTACATGGTAAACCCTGAATATGGATGTAACATGTAACATGCTCCAGAAGTAATACCTAACCTTTAATGGAAGTCTGTACTAAGAGAAAAAGCATAGGCCAACCTAGTTGCCTGACTGTCTGTGGCTTCCATACTTTGGGACATACAGCAGGTGAAATCAGAACTCCAGATTTGCATTCTCATTCCTAATTAGTTTTTCAGAGTTTTGATGCCCTAGAAAAGGATGGAAGCAGGGAACTTCCAATTTCACAAGTCAGCAATGGCAGTGTGAATATTTTTCTCAGTAAAGGTTTCCTTTAAAATGGTATTAATCCCTTAGTGTTCTTTTAGCTCAAAGTATTTGTAAACCAAAAAAAAATGTTCTTGTCTCTTTAAGGCAGGATAAACTGCATTATGGTCTTGGAATGTAAGTTATTAATTTGCATATTGTATAATACCTGGTTGATCCTCCCTGTTCCTGTCTTCCCCTCTGTCATATGTCCATGTTAATCATGGCTGCTGATCAACGATAGTGTGGTCAGTTGCATCCTGCTCTCTCCTCAGCGTGTCTGTATCTCCCTCTCTCCCCCTCCCCCACTCCATGCTATTTCAGAGAGAGAGGGGGGGGAGAGAGAGAGAGAGAGAGAACCACATGACTGCACAGAATCTGTGCTTAAAAGGTATTTATCAATGTTTATAAGAAAAAAAAAGGCAGTGCCGTTACTATTGCCCTGAAAAAGAAAGTATAATGGCAGTTTAAAGCTGAATTTTACAACTACTTTAACACATTCAGCTCAATAAACTAAACATTCCACAGTAAACTATTTGTTTATATATTTACTCTAGCTTTTGCAATTTACAAATTTAAATGCTCCTGCTCCTGCTGTCCTAGTGCTGCTTCTCTGAACTTCCACTCTTCACAGGAAAGAGTTAACAGTGGACAGTGCAGGCTCCAGTCTAAAGGGAAAGGAGGAGGGAGGAGCAGGGGAGTGCCTTACTATCCTAGGCTACAGGGCTGTGTATTTCTATTGATGTGTGAGAGTAAGGCGACAAAACTCTAGTTCCTGCATGCAAGGGTGGCTCAATAGGACATTGCAAGAAAAAGGAGCCAACCTGATAAAGGAAAACTGGGGCAATGGTCATTGCACCAGCCTAAACTGGAAAATAGGCAAGGATTAAAAGATGAAGAGGCTGCATACTCAGTAAGTGAATTTATTAACAGCTGAAAGTGCTTAAAAAACCGAGGGATTATTACTTTTTGCACGTCAAAAGAAGAAATAATGTATAAATTGAATTTTTTAGTGCTTTTCTCCCTAGGGACTCAAAGTGCTTAATCTGCTTTTGCAGCAGCTATCATGGGTACACTCAGTAGAATACCATACAAGGGTCAGTTTTAGACAGGAGCCAATAAACCTACCAGCATGTCTTTGGAGTGTGGGAGGAAACCTACGCAAGTACGGTGAGAAGATGAAAACTTCATACAAGAAATGTTCTGTTCAGTAGTCAAACTGAGGAACTCAGTACTGCAAGGCAGCAGTGTTAACCACTAAGCCAGTGTACTTTATGAACTGCTCCATATGAAAACAAATGTAAATAGGATACATTAAACTACAAATAGGATGTTTTGTCAATAGCAGTCGATAGACACCTAGGATTGAACTAAATGTACTAAAATAAGAGGTCTGATTTGCTGCTACTCGCAACGCCTTCACTTTTCTTACATCAGCTTTCATGGATTATCTCCATGTTTCAAAATCTCACATTTACAGTATGCAGTCAAACATCTGATCTGAAATCAAGTGTAGTACCTAAATAACCCTTCAAGTGTAACTAAATCCTCCTATTCTTGACAATCAAGGAAGCTGTCATCTTAGCTTCTGTTTGATCTGCAACTGCCATGATGCTGCAAATGTGATCAGTTATGACATCAGTCTGTTTAGTTGAGAGTAACAAAGCAATCAAGTAACACGCAATTGAGACAGTTAGCATGTCAGGAATGTAACTGCTTTTTGAAACTGTTAAATTAATGTAATTAGTTCTGCTTTCATTGTAATAGTTATTATTCCAGGCACTCCTTTAATGTAACTCTTTTAGAAAACAGGTAAATCAGTGGGTTTGGTTTCATTTTAGGCCTCGTTCACACTATATATGCATAGAAACTGATGGAAAAACTGTGCAGACTTCACTTGCAAAGACATCAATTTTCATGCACATTTTTGTATGCACAGATAGACATTATATCCTCTGTCATCACTTCTGCCCTGTGTCATCACTTTTTCTTCTTCACACAACAATGCTGATGTCACATCAGGTTTTTTTTTGTTTGTGCAGAAAACTGCATACACATTGCAGATTCTGAGCAGTGCCCTCATAGCAAGTAGCTTACTGTGGGGGGCACTGGTGCGTGCTTGCTCCCGAGCTTCAATCTCTGCGTTCACAGAAGATCATGACTCGGCCCCCGCCCTCCCACCACACCCTCTACACAAGCTACGATTGACAGCAGTGGGAGCCAATGGCTCCTTCTGCTGTATCTCAATGAGGGAGAGACCTGGGAGAGCCAGGACTCCTGTGCATAACACTGGACCGAGATTGGACTCAAGTGAGTATTGGAGGTGGCTGGAGGTGCCGCTGCACACTGAAGGTTTTTTACTTTCATGCATACAATGCATGAAGGTAAAAAAAACTTTCAGCCTTTACAACCACTTTAAGTTACCTGAAACTGAATAGTTTTCTCCCTATGCTGGAATCACCATTGGGGTATTTGTATACTGCTATCATATCTCCTCTCAAGTGTCTCTTCTCCAAGGAAATTAACAATACTCACCTCGGATCCAGCGATGTGATATCCTTGAGCTCCCCCCACCCGGCCACTGACATCTTTGGGTGGCCGGCTTCCAGATCTTGATCGCTGGCTGCTATTATTGGCCTTATGGGGATGACATCACTCCCATGCATGTACAGGAGCTCTGTCAGAGTTGGCATTGCTGAATCTGTACAGTGAGCTTCGAGCGCAAGGCTCACTGTACAGGGGCAGCAGGCAAGTAAGTAACTTTAATGCAGAAGAGACAAAGCATGTCTCTTCTGCATTAAAATCCCTGCCTATTTGTCCATTTTGAAATTCAGGACTAAAGTTCCCCTTTAAGTTTAGTGTTTTGTAGTTGTTCCTCATAACTGAGGTCCTCCAGTCCCCTTATTAGTTTTGTCACCCTTCTCAGGACTCTCTCCAGTTCCAGCACATCTTTCCTGAGGACTGGTAACCAGAACTAGATGGCATACTCCAGATGTGGCCAAACCACAGTTTTGTAAAGTGGAAAAATTAAAGTTTTATCTCTTGAGTAAATCCCCTTTTTAATGCACAATAATATTCTGCTAGCTTTGCTTGCCATTACATGATATTGCTGAGCCTGTGATCTACTAGGAACCCCAGATCTTTTTACATTCTGGAGTCCCCCAATGGCTCTCCTCCTAGCAAATAACTTCCATTTATGTTTTTAGCACCCAAGTGCATTACTTTACATTCTTCAACATTAAATTTACTTTGCCATGTAGTTGCCCACCTCTATTGAGGTCTTCCCATTTCTGCACAGAACACCAGTGTTGTGGTGTGAACAGAGCATGTAGAGAACATTTGTTTTCTTTGTGCCCTTGCAGAATGCATGCACAAAACGGACACCTACACAAGGTGTGAACGAGGCCCTACCCAGATTTATTACAGACAAGCTCACCTTTAAGTCTTGTTCCAAGCTGCGTAAAAGCTCCCCGTCTATCTCCCCGGTCTGGGCATAGCGGAGCCTCTTGCGCTCGGCCTTCCGAAGGCGGTACTGCAGGATCCTGCAGTTCTTGTTGGCCCTTTCCAGCTCGTGGCGCATTTCCTGCAGCTGACAAGCGTCCTCTTCAAAAAAGGTATCCCTCATCTCGTCCATCTCCGTCCTCATCTCGTCGATTTCATTCTACTCGCGGGAACATCAAGGAGTTAAAGGGGTTGGGGAGGAGACAATGGAGAAAGACATGAGTGACATGGGTTTATATTGTATAAGCATGGTGATCCTATGGAGAGTCAATGACAGAAGGGTATGTAACATGGAGAGTCAATGACAGAAGGGTATGTAACATGGAGAGTCAATGACAGAAGGGTATGTAACATGTAACATGTAGAGTCAATGACAGAAGGGTATGTAACATGGAGAGTCAATGACAGAAGGGTATGTAACATGGAGAGTCAATGACAGAAGGGTATGTAACATGGAGAGTCAATGACAGAAGGGTATGTAACATGTAACATGTAGAGTCAATGACAGAAGGGTATGTAACATGGAGAGTCAATGACAGAAGGGTATGTAACATGGAGAGTCAATGACAGAAGGGTATGTAACATGTAACATGTAGAGTCAATGACAGAAGGGTATGTAACATGGAGAGTCAATGACAGAAGGGTATGTAACATGTAACATGAAGAGTCAATGACAGAAGGGTATGTAACATGTAACATGGAGAGTCAATGACAGAAGGGTATGTAACATGTAACATGGAGAGTCAATGACAGAAGGGTATGTAACATGGACAGGCAATGACAGAAGGGTATGTAACATGGACAGGCAATGACAGAAGGGTATGTAACATGTAACATGGAGAGTCAATGACAGAAGGGTATGTAACATGGACAGGCAATGACAGAAGGGTATGTAACATGGAGAGGCAATGACAGAAGGGTATGTAACATGTAACATGGAGAGTCAATGACAGAAGGGTATGTAACATGTAACATGGAGAGGCAATGACAGAAGGGTATGTAACATGGAGAGGCAATGACAGAAGGGTATGTAATATGTAACATGTATAGTCAATGACAGAAGGGTATGTAACATGTAAAATGGAGAGGCAATGACAGAACAGTATGTAACATGTAACATCGAGAGGCAATGACAGAAGGGTATGTAACATGGAGAGGCAATGACAGAAGGGTATGTAATATGTAACATGTAGAGTCAATGACAGAAGGGTATGTAACATGTAAAATGGAGAGGCAATGACAGAAATGTAACATGGAGAGGCAATGACAGAAGGGTATGTAACATGTAACATCGAGAAGTATGCAACATGGAGAGTCAATGACAGAAGGGTATGTAACATCGAGAGGCAATGACAGAAGGGTATGTAACATGGAGAGGCAATGACAGAAGGGTATGTAATATGTAACATGTAGAGTCAATGACAGAAGGGTATGTAACATGTAACATGGAGAGGCAATGACAGAGGGTATGTAACATGGAGAGGCAATGACAGAAGGGTATGTATCATGTAACATGGAGAGGCAATGAGAGAAGGGTATGTAACATGTAACATGGAGAGTCAATGACAGAAGGGTATGTAACATGGAGAAGCAATGACAGAAGGGTATGTAACATGGAGAGGCAATGACAGAAGGGTATGTAACATGCCTTTATCTAGTGGTATGGCTGAGATAATGTGTAGAGGATATGTGATGGGCGATACAAAGGCAGATGCAGATGTGGAGCTGACCAGACACTGCAGTGAGATGAATGCAGCAGACATGGGAGCCAAGTGTATGTCTGGCAGCTGACAGGCAGGCCTGACTCCCCATGACATCACCGCATGCACAGACAATGGCAGCCATGGCAGCTCCCTCACCTTCAGGCTCTCGTTCTCCTCCTTCAGTCTCTCCACCTCGTCCTGGAGCTCCTGGAGAGCGCTGGGGGCCCTCCAGCCCTCCAGATCTCCGGCCTGCTCCTGTCCAGCCTGCCCATTGTCAGCCTCAGTCCCCCCGCCGCCTTTGTTGGCGCCTGCCGCGGCTAGGCCTTTCTTCAGATGGAATTGCATCAGCTCGGACTGCAGACAGCCCTCCTTCCAGTAAGCCCCACTTTGTTTTTTGGGGCTCTTCCCCAGCGCCTGCGAGGACTGCGCCCCATCGCCCCCCTTAGGGGAGGAGCCTTTCCCTTTCACCTTCACGGTCTTGGGGGATCCGTCCCCTGATTGCTCAGGGGTGCCCGCCCTGGTGTGCTCCGTTCTTGCAGGTGTCAGGTCGGAGGGGGGTGTGCGCTGCTGACCCTCCAGCTCTCCCCCGGCCTCCGCCCTAGATGACGAGCTTTCAGCACCACCGCCGCTATGGACAGCTCCCTCTCCGCTCTGCCGGGCGCAGTGCTGCTCTGCGGCTGGCCGGGGGAGAGGCTCGGGGGGTGGGGGCTCTGTGTCTCCCTCCGCTCCTGGCTGCGGCCTCCGCTCTGCCTGCAATGCCCCGGCTCTGGAGGGGGACAATGATCGCTCTTGTTGTCTCCGAAAGATGCGACCCTCCGGATGCAGGCGAGGCTCAGCTGCAGTACCAGCACACGCAACAGCGCCACCGGCTGGCCGGATCATGCTGCTGTCTTCATCTGAGCCTTGCCTGTCAGCATGAGCCAAGTAAAGAGACATCAATACAGGCCAATCCCCACCCAATCAATACAGTACACACGTCTGCAAAGTGATTGAGAATGTAAATGGCAATACAAAATTATCTATCTATCCATCCATCCATCCTGTCTGTCTATCCATTCAAGATCAATAACACAACCATCAGTCCTTCCCCACATGCCAGGGTACTAGGTGTAATCCTAGACTCCCATCTGTCCTTTCACCCCCAAATCCAATCACTGTCCAAATCTTGTAGACTTCACCTCCGCAACATCTCCACGATACGCCCGTTCCTAACCTCGGAAACCACTAAGCAACTTATTCACTCCCTTATTATATATCGCCTTGACTATTGTAACTCCCTCCTCATTGGCCTACCTCATCGCAAGCTATCCCCTCTTTAGTCTATCATGAATGCTGCTGCCAGACTCATCAAGCTTACTAACCATTCTGTATCTGCCACCCCTCTCTGCCAATCCCTCCACTGGCTATAACTCTGCACCAAATTACATCACCAATCTTGTCTCCAAATTTCACCCAAACCTTCCTCTACGCTCCTTGCATGACCTTCTGGTCTCTAGCTCCCTTGTCTCCTCCTCCCATGCTCATCTCTAGGACTTCTCCAGAGCCTCCCCCGTCCTCTGGAACTCTCTACCCCAATCTATCAGACTATTGCCTACTCTGCCCACTTTTAGGCGATCTCTAAAAACCTATCTCTTCAGCTAATAACATAATCTTCTATTCTTTCTACAAGTCCACCCCACACAGTTACTACCTTTTGTACCACCAGCCCCTCCCTCTTGTAAGCTCCAAGGAGCAGGGCCCTCCTAACCCTCTTGTATTGAACTGTATGTTGCAGTATTGTCTTCCTTTATATTGTAAAGCACTGAGCAAACTGTTGATGCTATATAAATCCTGTATGATAATAATCCATCCATCCATTAATCTATCTATCTATTATTATTATTTTACAGGATTTATATAGAGCCAACAGTTTGCGCAGTGCTTTACAAAATGAAGATAGACATTACAGTTACAGTACAATTTGGTACAAGAGGAAACAGAGGGCCCGGCTCATTAGAGCTTACAATCTAGGAGGAATGGTTGCGTGATATAAAAGGTAATAGCTGTGGGGGATGAGCTGATGGAGAAAAAAAGGCATTTTACTAATTAGAAGCAGGATAGGCTTCTCTAAAGAGAACGGTTTTCAGGGATCATCTAAAGGTCGACAGATTAGGAGATAGACAGATTAGGGTAGAGAGTTCCATTGAATGGGAGAAGCTCGGGAGAAGTCCTGGAGGCGAGCATGGGAGGAGTTGACACGGGAACTAGAGAGCAGAAGGCCTTGGGAGGATCGCAGACAGCGGTTTGGTAGGTATTTTGAGACCAGGTTAGTGATGTAGCTGGGGGCAGAGTTGTGGATGGCTTTGTAAGTTGTTAGTATTTTGAATTTTATTTGTTGGGTGAGTGGAAGCCAGTGGAGGGATTTGCAGAGAGGGGTAGCAGACACTGAATGGTTGGTAAGGTGGATGAGCCTGGCAGCAATATTCATGACGGACTGGAGGGGGGATAGCCTATGTATAGGTAAGCCAATGAGGAGGGAGTTGTAGTAGTCGAGGCGATCTGGTAAGAGGCTCGGAAAGTCATCTGCAGGATAACACTCACCTTTTATATTCGTTCCTGAAGCACTGGACTTTCTCTTGAATTTTTGTAACAGAAGACACTCTTTGGTATTAGCTAAACTCCTGAGGATGGACCTCTTGTGAGAAGATAGAGAACATACAGCTCAGGGGGACTTCCACTATGAAAGCAGTCCTAAGCCAGCAACTCTGGAACAGTCTCTTCCCAGGGTCAAACAACAACAGCCACTAGGGTCTCTCTCTGTCTTGAGCTTCTACTCTCTGTGCCCCGTGAACATGATTCCTCCTTTTACTACCAGCCAGAGCCTGTACCAGGAGCCTCCCAGGCCAGATCCTTAGTGGACTTTCACCAAACTGTTCTCAGCAGCTTTAGAGATAAGCACCCCAGCTCTCCTTGACCTGCCAGCTCTCCTTGAGCTGGGGCCTTGATGAAACTCCTGCAGTCTTCAGTTGATATATCCAGAAGGGCAACGGCCCTTCAGGCTGAGGCTTCTCCTCCTGGACACTGCTGTTCTATGCCCCAGACTATTTATACACACTTCAGCCCTCTGCTATTTGTCCACTTGGCCAGGGATTGACTGAGGCTGTATGAATATTCAGCCCAGGGTCTGCCTCTTTCAACCCACTACATTTTTTATCTCACTTAAAGACAGGGGGAAGTAATTAAGCCTGCAACCAGCAGGACTCAGAACATGCAAAAACAATCAAATTCTGCTCCACTGGCTACCGAGGAGCCAACAACTACATTTACTAATTCCCACTAGCAACCTACTGGCAGGGCGCTACATAGTTATGTGTAGACTTTTTAGAACCCCCAAACATTATATATTTATTTAAAGCAGAGGCCATAGAGAATAAATTGGTGTATTTTGCTATTTTTCATGTCACACAGTATTTGTGCAGCGTTTTTTCAAATGCAATATTTTGGGAAATTGTTTTTTGAATTGTAATGCAAAAAAAACACAATAAATAACCTTTTTTTGTAAAATATAAAAGATGATGTTACACTGAGTAAATAGATACCAAACATGTCATGCTTTAGAATGGCACATGCCTGTGCTACAGCGACAAATGATGTAAATTTTACAGTAAGTTGAAGTCACATCAACTTACTGTGCCTCCTGCTAGTTGGTTCACTTAGTCACCCAGTAACACTGAGCTCCTTTTTACTGTCTGTGGGTGAAAAAAAAGGGACGAAGAGCAGCAGAGATCCAGGAGGTACATTTGAACTGCAGGCAAAGCAGGTCAAACTCCTTTAGACCTTAAAATAGAGAATGTAGAAGTGGATCGCACCAGGGTTTACAGCCAGTTGATTAGGAGTTGATTGAGATCTGTACCACCCAGCATCAATCACATCTTTCAGAATCAGATCTCAGAGTTTTTCATTGTGCACTTCTGCTGGCTGCTGATTGGCCATAACTAACTGTTAAGAATCTGGAGGTGGAGCAGAAGACACAAGAGGATTACTTTATAGATTCACAGGACTCGCAGTAAGGATCTCCATATACCTGGTGAGCTGACCTGTTCATCCCTTAAAGGGACCCGGTTACCTTTCCATCACACACCAGAGGCTACAAGATCCAGGCACACTCAGTGAGGGATTCTACTCCATTCCTGACCAGACCTTGATGACCTTCGGTGACATCAGGATATTTACATACAAATGCGCATTTTATTATGCGCTCTGGTGAGTGCGCATTCTTATCATTTTTGACTGCACAAGCACCAACTTCCAGTTGAATACAGAATTCACGTTTTATGACACCAGTTATCATACAAACTATTTTATACAGTGATTGCATTTTATTGGTCATTTTTGTCTATATATTTTAGCGCTGCACTATAATATAATATACCATGAAATTGTTTTGCCACTGGCCAGTTGGTACAAAGTTGAGTAAACATTCCTGTAGATTCTAGATTTGTTGAAGTTACTACTTCCACCACTCAATCCTCTTATTGCTGGATAAAATAATCAGCCAAAACAGCCAAAACTACCTAAAAAGTCTTTTTAAAGTTGAAATGAATCAAATTTGGTTGTTGCTGCTGCATTTAAGCTAAGCAATAATGTAAAAGTAAAAAATCAATTACACATGAAAAATATATGATGCCAGAATACGATTTTGCTGAAGCTGATGGAACTGTTTCACAACACCACATACTGTACAGCCCTAATGTATCTCGCAAGAATGTAACTGAAAGGAATTGTGTTTTGCCTATGTTGCCCTTCAAGTCAGATAAAAAGATGGATCTTCTCCCTGATGTACAGTATTTTTTAATCCATTTTGTGCATGGTACACGTCTCCCATGGCAATGCTCAGCTGCCCATGCCCTTTGTTGCAATCCCTTGCCTATTAGACTGGAAAATGGCCAGAATTGATTTTCAAGCTTCCCCCATAGACTTTATTGGAATTTGGATTAAAGTTCACAATTTTTGTACTTCACAATGGGTTTGATGAACTGACTGTAAACTGAACCCTGGCATATTCACAGCTATCTAAAGGGTTGGGATGTTTCATTTGGCTGGAAAAAAAGTACAAGTTTAATGGTTAATATGGCATCAAAAATCCTCCTCTAGTTATTGGTATATGTACTGTATATGTTTTACAGATAAATAAATTAAATCGATTTTTGCAGTTTGCAGAAAATGAGTAGTACAAATTATAGATAGGGCAATTTGCACAGTTTGGGTTAATTTCTGCCCTGCAATAATCATAGTGTGACAGACCCAAACAGGACAGGGGCTTTTGGAAGGGACTAGGGGCTAACCTTCTACCCACTGATTATGGAGATCAGGAATTTTGTCTGATTCTCCTGGTCAGAGCATTTAAAAGAGCTCAATTCAGCCTCTGATCACATGGAGAGAGCGGATCAGTCTGTGATGATGGATAATAACGTGATGAGTGCTGAGAACAAGGCTTGGATTAATTCTCTGATAAAACAATAAAGCTTCCCTTCTGGAGTGGATGGGAAAGTGTATTATTAATCTTGTACAGGTTAATGGTTAGAGGAAATAGGGGGCCCTCCTGCGGACCATGTTGGAGAAGCTCCTCCATGTGGGCCAGAAATATTTATCAACAATTTCCCTTTAGAAAACTATGAAGATAAATTAATTCTACTTTTTCAGACTGTTGGAATATTGTATGATGTTTGTCTTATGATGAGTTTTCTAGTGGACAGATTGCACAGGTGTGTGTAATGTACTTTATGTATTCAGGGTTGGAGGTGCCAAACTGTCTGGGGTGCCTGGCTGTT